TGTGGCATGTTTTTAAGGTTCATCTATTTTTTTTTTTTTTAGTATGCATCAGAATTTCATTCCTTTTTATGGTTGTATTATATTCATTGTGTGTATATCCCACATTTTGCTTATTCATTCATCCACCAATTGACACTTGAATTGTTTCCACCTTTTGGTTACTGTATTCACATTATTCAATGCTGCTATAAAAATTAGTGTGCAGGGGTGCCTGGGTGACTCAGTTGGTTAAGTGCCTGCCTTTAGCTCAGATCATGATCCCAAGGTCCTGTGATGGAGTCCTGCATTGGGCTCCCTGCTCAGTGGGGAGTCTGCTTCTCTCCCTTCTTGTGTGCTCTATCAAATAAATAAATAAAATCTTTAAAAAAATTGGTGTACCAATATTTGTTGAAGTCCCTACTTCAAATTCTTTGGGATATATACCCAGAAGAATCCAGAAATTTCTGGATCATACAGTAATTCTAGGTTTCGTTTTTAAAGGTACTGCCATACTGTTTTTTACAGTGGCTGCAAAATTTTACATCTCCACTAGCAATTCATAAGAGTTTCAATTTTTCCACATCCATGCCACCACTTGACATTTTCTGGTTTTTGGTTTTTGCTTTGTTTTTTTTTAGATAATAGCCATCCTAATGGGTGTGAAGTGGTATCTCATGGTTTTGATTTGCATTTCCCTAATGATTAGTTGATGTTGAGCATCATATTTTTGTGTGCTTATTGGTCATTTGCATATCTTCTTCAGACAAATATATATCCAAGTCCTTTGCCTACTTTTTTTTTCAAAATTTCTAAGTTGTAGTAAAATAGTGGCACCTGGGTGGCTCAGTCAGTTGAGCATTGACTCTCGGTTTCAGCTCAGGTCATGATCTTGGGGTTGTGGAATCAAGTCCCATCAGGCTTATGCTCAGCACAGAGTCTGCTTGGGATTCATTCTCTTTTCCTCTCCCTTCCCCTCTGCTCCTATCCCCTTTGCACACATGAACATGCACTCTCAGTCCCTAAAATAAAGCGTTTTTAAAAAACTGTGGTAAGATACACGTAAATTTAACCACCTTAACTAATTCTATGTGTATAGTTCAATGATACTATGAACATTAATATTGTGCAATTATCACCACCATCCATTTCCAGAATTATTTTTACCTGGAAAAACTGAGACTTTATACCTTTTAGAGTTTCCCATTCCTTTCTCCCTTTCCCCCATCTTTGGCAACCACTATGCTACCATCTGTATCTATGAATTTGAGTACGCTAGGTACCTCATATCAGTGGGATCACATGATATTTGTCCTTTTGTGTCTGTCTTATTTCACTTAGCATGATGTCCTCAAGGTTCATCAATGTCATAATGTATCAGAATTTCCTTCCTTTTTAAGGCTAAATAATATTCCATCATATGCCACATTTTGTTCCTCCATTCATCCATTGGTTAATAGGTGGTTTACTTCCACCTTTTGGCTATTATGAATAATACTGCTAAGAACATGAGTGTGTAAATATCTTTTTGTGTTCCTGTTTTCAGTTCTTTGGGGTATATATGCAGAAGTGGAAATGCTGGGTCATGTGATGATTCTTTTTTCTTTCTTTTTTTTTTTTTAGTATTTATTAAAGTAACCTCTACACTCCATCTGGGGCTTGAACTCATGACCCTGAGATCAAGAGTCACATGCTATTCTGACCAAGCCAGCCAGGTGCTCCTCACATGATAATTCTATGTTTAATGTTTTGAGGCACTGCCATACTATTTTTTACAGCAGCTGCCCCATTTTACATCCCCACTAGCAATGTACAAGGTTCCAATTTCTCCATATCCTCAGCAACACTTTTTATTTCCTATGTTTGTTTGCTGGTTTATGGTAACCATCCAATGGGTATAAAGTGGTATCTCACTGTGGTTCTGGTTTGTGTTTTCCTGATTAGTGATGTTGAGTATTTTTCATGTGCTCATTGGCCATTGCATATAATCTCTGGAAAGTGTCTATATAAGTCCTTTGCCCATTTTTGAATTGGGATTTTTTTGTTGTTGTTGTTGTTGTTGAGTCTTAGGAGTTCTCTGTATATTCTGGATTGTTGTTTTTATCATAAATTTTGTCAAATGATTTTCTTCTGTGTCAACTGACATGCTCATATGGGAGTTTTCCCCTTTATTTTATCAATGTGGTGTATTATATTGATTGATTTTTGTATGTTGAACAATCCTTGCATTCTGGGAATAAATCCCCCTTTGTCATGGTGTATAATCCTTTTAATATGGTGCTGAATTCAGTATGATACTAAATCTTTAATATTTCCTTCCTTCTTCCTTCTTCTTCTACTGATTCAATATGATACTGAATATGAGTATTTGGTTGAGGACTTTGCATCAATAATCATAAGTGATATGGATCTATAGTTTTCTTTTTCTTGTAGTATCTTTGTGTGGCCATGGTATCAGGGCAATGCTGGTGTCACAGTATGACTTAGTAAGTATCCTCTCCTATTTAATTTTTTGGGAGAGTTTGTGGAAGACTGGCATTATTTCTTCATTAAAAGTTTGGTGGAATTCACTAATGAAACCATCTGGTCCTGGCTTTTCTTTGTCAGAAGGTCTTTTGATTACTGATTCAGTCTACTTACTAGTTGTAGGTCTATTTGGATTTTCTATTTCTTCCTGAGTCAGTTTTGGTTGATCATGTGTTTCTAGGAATTTGTCCATTTCATCTAGGTTGTACAATTTGTTGATGTGCAATTGTTCACATTATTGTCTTATAATACTTTTTATTTCTGTAAAATTGGTAGTAATGTACCCATTTTTATTTCTGTAATTTGAGATATTGGTAATTTGAGTCTTCTCTCTTTTTTCCTTAGTCAATCTAACTAAGGTTTGTCACTTTTATTGATCACTTCCAGGGATCAACTTTTGGTTTTGTTGATTTTCTCCATTGTTTTCTTAGTCTCTACTTCATTTATGTCTGCTCTAATCTTTAATATTTCCTTCCTTCTGCTAGCTTTTGGTTTAGTTTTTTTTTTCCCCTAGTTCCTTAGGTTTAAAGCTAAGTTATTGATTTGAGATCTTTCTTCTTTTTTTAAAATTTAAATTCAATTAATTAACATATAGTGTATCACTCAAAATCTTTCTTTTTAAGAGTAGACATCTATAGCTATAAATTCCGTCTGAATATCACTTTCATTATATCTCATACATTTTGGTATGCTGTGTTTTTGTTCACTTTTAAATATTTTCTAATTTCTGTTGTGATTTCTTCTCTGACCCATTAGTCGTTTAATTTACACACATTTGTGAATTTTCTAGTTTTCCTTTTGTTATTAATTTTTAGTCTCAATTTGTTATAATTGGAAAAGATACTTTTGTATGACTTCAATCTTTTAAAATTTATTAAGACTTGTTTTGTGGCCTACCATGTGGTCTATCCTGGACAATATTCCATACAAGTTTGAGAAGAATGTGTATGTTGTAATGTGGAGTGTCCTGTATGTGCTGTTAGATTTAATTGGTTTATGGTGTTGTTCATGTCTGTCCTCTATTTCCTTACTGATCTTCTATCTGATCTATCCATTATTGAAAGTGGGGTATTCATGTCTCTTATCAGTTTACCAGACTCGCTGTAACAAATATCACAAACTCAGGAGGACTTAAAACAAATGTATTTTCAGGCCTCTGAATGGCCCAGTCAGTTAAGCATCTGCCTTTGGCTCAGGTCATGATCCAAGGGTCCTGGGATAGAGCCCCTCATCAGGTTCCCTGTTCAGTGAGGAGCCTGCTTCTCTTCTCCCTGTCCCCCTGCTTTGCACTTCCACATTCTCTCTGTCAAATAAGAAAAAAATCTTAAATTTTAAATGCAACACACTTCATACAACTGATACTTTGTTTAAAAAAATTTATTTTCTCATAGTTCTGGAGGTAGGAAGTCCAAAATCAACGTGTCAGCAAGGCCATGTTTTCTCTCATATCTCTAGCGAGTTCTTAGTTTCTGGTGTTTACCAGCAATCTTTGGCATTTATTGGCTTAAAGATCCATTTCTCCAGTCTGTCTCCATTATCACATGGCATTCTCCCTTTATGTCTCTGAGTCCCTGGTTTTTTTGTTTTGTTTTGTTTTTTTTTTAAATAAGGACCCAAGCCACTGTGATAGGGCCCACCTGAATCCAGTATGAGCTCATCTTGACCAATAACATCTGTAAAGACTCATTTCCATATAAGGTCACATTCACAGATACCAGGGGTTAGATTTCAATATATCTTTTTGAGAGTCATAATTAAACCCATAACAGGTGGAATCTTACAGTGGTTGATGACATTTAAAAAATGCATATAAACATTTCTAAATTCAGGATATAGTTTACAAATTGGTGGTATCCAAGATTCTACATAACATATTTCATAATGTGATAATTGCTATGAAGAAAGAGTGGCTGACAAATGTGTAGGAATATGATTTTAGGTTGAGTGGTCAGAGAAGATTTCCTTATGCAGGTGACATTTAAGTAGACATTTCTAATTACTTAGAAAGAGCCCGTTATGCAAAATCTGGAGTAAGAGTATTTCAATCAGAGGGAATAGTAAGTGTAAAAGGCTGGAATTGAAAACAAGCTTGGTATGCTTAAGGAATGACAACAAAACCAGTATAGCTAGTAGGTTGTAAGGAAGAAAGAGGTAGAACAAGATAAGTATAAGGACCTAATAAGCACTTAGTAATTTAAGAATTAAGATGATGTCATTTCTGAAGGTAGATTGTTCTTAAAAGTTACCCCCAAAGACATGTTAAAAGTCCCACATTTGATACTATAAGTGGACACTTTCTAGGTTCTATAACACTATTAATCCTTTGATCTTGGTACGCGAACAAGTTCTTGTTGGACTTGATATTTTGGAAACTCATCTCCTTTGTGAATGATTTTAAATCTTTATGTTTTCTGAAAAGTAACTTCTCAAGTTTATGAAATGTTAAAATATTGCCATTTCTTCACTAAAAACCAGTGTCTTCCTTATTTCTCTTGAAGATTCAAGCACAGGATTCCATTCTTAAGCAAAATCCCATTCTAGAAACAGAGTCTTATTCTCCCAATTTACCAAAAAGGTGAGTACAATTTTACACACCCCTGTGTTGTCTCACTGATGTGATGCTAACAGGAGACCTCTCTGGGGTATGGTGTTATCCTTCCTTTGTTTTTGTTTCAGCACCTTAAAAGAAGCAGAGAAGATGAAACAACAGAGCAAACCAAAGCTAAGGGTGAAAAGTGCAGAAGATTCTTCTTTTGACCTCAGGACTCCTGACAGAAGTGAAAAGGAAAGGTTAGCCTTGCACGGTGGTGAACAGAGCCGTGCTTTTGACCTTTTGGAGCTAAACTGTAGTTGTAACAAAAATGCCGACATAACCACACATTGGGAGACCAAGGCGTTTCCAATAGCTGGGAAGCCTCTTCAGAAGCATCAGAGTTTAGATTGGAGTGCGATTTTGTTTGGAGCGTGTCCAAATTCTAAAGCTGCCGATGTGGCAGGAAGGTATTTTAATTCAAAGGCGCCGATAATACGGACCAAATCAACGCCCTTTGAGCTGATACAACAGAGAAACACCGAGGAGTTGGACATCAAGGAAAATGTTTCTTGTTTGGAATCTCAACCCCACAGTTCTTATCTCCAGCAGGCTCAAAAAGCGAGGCATGCTTCTTTGGCAGAACAGAATGATTCACTGCCGTCAGACTCTCAGCCCCAAATGTGCAGCGCCTCTGTTGCAAAGGGGCAGGACTCTCAGCCTCTTCGTGTATATTCTTACATGTCTGTAGAAGATCCTTATTTCTTATCATTGTCTCCTAGTAGTGCTGGTTCTAAGATGTCTCTTGATTTATCTGAGAAGCCAGATGGAAACGTTTTGCCTTGTTCCTCATTGCCAGCATCTTCTACAACCCTCTTTTCTTCTTACAATTCATGTGATTCTTTAGCACTGAGTCCTCCAACCGAATACCCCTCTCCAAACCCAGAGACAGCAGTAGTAGGTAAGTTTTTTTTTCGAAGTTTATATGGCATTCTAGATTTCACTCTTCTCTATAGAAGATTTGGTTTCTTCTCATGCTCCCCCTGGTCTTTCTCAGCTTCTTTCTCCTCCTTCCTTCTCCTCCTCAAAGAAATAAATCCCCAAGGGTTTTCATGATGGGATGAGTTAAAAAATAGCAACATGTAATCGTTGATGAAACAGGCAGCAACGGAGGCAGGCTCTATGCCAGCAAGTGTGTCCCTAAAGGAGGCAATCCCCATTCCTCGGGATGTTTATCAGAGGTCCACAATTCACCCTTGCTAGGCGGAAGCAACTTTCAAAGAAGCAGCAGAAATGATTTGATCCATAGCACTGCATGGTGCCTCAGGACATTTTTGCTCAACCATGTGGCTGCACTGAACTGAACAGATCGTTAAGCATTCAGTTCTCTTCTGCAGGAGTTGGAAGAGGAGGACCTGATTTCTTCCCATCCTTGCATAATAACGTAGTAGATGAGAACATACATTTATATGCTATGTGGGACTATCATCTTATATTCACCTTTATTTTCATGCTTTTTCACCTTTATTGTCCTGGATGTTTGCATATTATGCATATTGTTTTTGTTTTATTGAGTGGTTTAAAAGTAAAAGTAAGTATCCTCCTAGAGATAGTTATAATAGCTTGATAGGGAAGAAGGTGAAGAAAAGACCAAGCTTAACTCTCCAGATATATTATCAGAAGTTTATGAATGGCATTTTACCTAAATAGGACGTAGAAAAAATTTTTTCTATAACATGATTTATTGTACAGCGTTTCTTAGTAGATAGATGTGTGGATGTGTAGTTTGTGACAAAAATGTTTTACCTGGATCTAATTGCTTCTTTATTTTATGTATTTTGATCCTGTTTTATAATTTAAAGGATTTTTTTTTAAAGTTACCCACAATACCTTAAACTTCTCTGAGCATCATCTTCAAAAGCAAATTCGAGCTTTAGGGATTGTAACATCATGACATGTATGCCACCTGGTGGCAGTTTCTTATAACAGCATTTGAATTTTTCTATAAAAATTCTGAATTTTTCTGTAGAAAAATAGAAAACCTTGTTATACCACTGTTTTGTAAAAAGGAAAAAAATCCATATTCTTCACTGTAGAATGAAGAAGTGATACTAAAATCTTTAAACTTCAACCTACTCTGTAACTGAATCCTTGGCATATTTAAAAGTGCTTTATCATGCTTTATTGAATATTGTACATGAAACAAAAGGGTTATATAGAAAATAACTCAAAACTTCCTGAATTAATATAATGTTTTATATTCTGTTAACGTACTGAGTGACTCGACCAAAACACTTTGGGGCCTTTAAAGGAAATAGGGAATAAATTTTGAAGAAGCAGCAAAGCCTCCTGGGTTTGCAAATTAAAATGGGAGAATTTATTTTGCTTTTTCCTTGAGTAAAAACATACCAGTTTAAGTATTGTAATGATGCTTGATGGACTTTACTTCAAGATTAGAATATAAGAATTTCCTTTGGCAAAAAAATCTCTTAAAAAAAAAAATGAGGTGCCTGAGTGGCTCAGTGGGTTAATCCTCTGCCTTCAGCTCAGGTCATGATCTCAGGGTCCTGGGTTGGAGCCCCACATCAGGCTGTCTGCTCAGCAGGGAGCCTGCTTCCCCCTCTCTCTCCGCCTGCCTCTCTGGCTACTTGTGATCTCCCTCCCTCTGTCAAAACAAAACAAAACAAAACAAAACAAAAACCTTAAAAAAAAAAAAAACTAAAAAAAAAAAAAAAAAAAAAAGAATTTCCTTTGGCAGGGCTCCTGGGTGGCACCATGGGTTAAGCATCCAGCTCTTGGTTTTGGCTCAGGTGATGATCTCAGGGTCCTGAGATCGAGCCTCATGTACAACGGCTCCATGCTCACCATGGGGTCTGCTTGAGATTTTCTCTCCCTCCCACTCATGCTCACTTGCTCTTTCTCTCTCCCTCAAACAAATAAATAAATCTTAAAAAAGAAAAAAGAATTTCCTTTGGATGTTTCTAATGAAAAATTATGGTTCTATTTCTGGAATTTTGGATAGCAACTTGTCCAAGGATAGATGATGAAGTCCCCCCTCCACTTCCTGAACGGACACCCGAGTCTTTTATTGTGCTGGAGGAAGCTGGTGAGTACTGTTCAGATAGTGTAAAATAAAGTGGATTAACTAGAATACTTCTCAGGTCCTGTCAATGTTCTGCGTGCTGCTGTGAGTAACATTTGCATTATTCTGTAAGAATTTCAACACTCCTAAGAATTGGACCATATTTACTTTCAGGAGAATTCCCACTGAATGTTCCCAAATCCTTATCTTCAGCTGAGGAGGCAAAAGTTGGAACATCACTACAATGGAATAGAACATCTGAGTCAAGGACATCTGATGACACTGTGAGACTTAGACCAACTAAGGTCCATAACACTTTTTCTTTTCTACTCATCTGGATTCCACAGACCAAAATTGCACTCCTTGTATTTTTAAAGCCTATCACTCAACAAATACTAAGCAGTACTTATACTGCTTATATGTATACTCCTTATACTCATTTATACTCTTTATAAAACAATGTGCTAGAGGATATGGGGATAAGGCAATGGATAAGACACAAGTCTTGCCCTTATGAAACTTTCAAGTTGGAAGTGACTAAGGAAGGCATAGTGAAAGAGGAAATGTTTGAACTGGTTCCTGAAGTACAGTTAAGGCAAAAATAAATTTTTTATAAGTAGGTAGCCTGTTCATAGTAGTCATTTGGTAGGCTGTATCGTGTTCTCTGATAATATGTTGTAGAGAGCAATTTTTTGAAAGACAGATGTTAAAGTCCATGCTATTTAAGATAAACTTTTCAGGATAATGCTCCCCACTTCTGGAAGTAAAATTACACTTCAACAATCTGTTATATGTTTGTATATATTCTATGAACCAACTACCTTAAAATTTCAGAGATCAGAAAAGTAATTAACTAAACAAACATTTTAAAGTGACTACAACTGCAATGCTAGTAGGCAAATATTCTTTATCTTTTTGATTACACTTTTAATATATTTGTAGTTATTATTGTTAATAATATGCTCACATGTGATGGTCTTTATCTTAACAACTGCTAGAGCCAAGAACAATCACTCCTTTTCCAGTGTCATGAAGTAATTTCAATTTCAACAATTTACCTCCAGTTAAATTTTCTGGGAAATGTTCTGTAGGAAGGAAATAAATTAAAAAAGGATCACTTTAGGACCAATTGCCATGACATACAAAAATCACCATAAGGTTATGGCAGAGGATATTTGCAAATGATATATTTGATCAGGGGTTAATATCCAAGATATATAAAGAATTTATACAACTTATATAAAAAACCCCTACATAATCTGATTTTAAAAATGGACAGTAGATATGAATAGACGTTTTCCAAAGAAGAAATACAGATGAACAACAGACATGAAAAGATGCCCATCACTCATCATCAGGGAAATGCAAATCAAAATCACAATGAGATATCATCTCACACCAGTTACAATGGTTAAAAAAAAGAAAGAAACACAAGAAACAAGTGTTGGTGAGAATGCGAGGAAAAAGGAACCCTCATGCAAAATAAAGGAGCTAAGAAAAAAGAGACAAACAAAAAAACAGACTCATAATTATAGAGGACAAACTGATGGTTAGCAGAGGGAGGTGGGTGGGACATGGGTCAAATAGGTGAAGGGGATTAAGAGCACACTTATTGTGAATAGCACGGAATATCCATATTAATCCGTGAATAGCACGGATTAATGTATAGAATTGTTGAATCATTACATTTGACACCCAAAACTAATATAAAATTGTATGTTAATTACACTTGAAGTTTAAAAAAATAATTAAATATTTAAAAAATTCATAATTTTTCTTTATAAAAGGGAAAAAAGAAATAAATTTAGAGAAAGAGTAAAACACTGTAGGAGTTCAGGATGCCTTTTCATAATTTAGTGTGCTTACAAATCAGGAAAAATAAAGTCAACATTTCATGACTGTCTCTATAAGGCTTTCAAAAATGCCTTATATTGCTTAGAGTTTCTAAATTTGGGTACCGATTCTTTCACTTTTCTCTTATTTCTTTCTTTTAGAGTGTAAAACTCCGGAGTCCCAAATCAGGTAAAAAAAAACAACTCCCCCTGGCTTTAATGACATTTAGCTCTAAGAATTTATACTCTAAGAATGACTCATTAAGTTTAGAGTAATTCACCTCAGGAGATGGCATGGTTCCCATAATAGCTCCACTATTTATTGTTTTTTTCCTGATTTTCCCAGGCTAGGAGTTTTGCCTTGTCAAGGGCAAGGAAAACACAGGATTTTAGAATTCTACTCCCTGACGTATAATCCTTAAAAACAAAGACAAAGACAAAAACAATTTCAAGTAGAATTTTCTTAACATTTTGCAGCATTTCTATTTTATAGGTTTTACCATTGTTAGCAGTTTGATTCTTTAGATCTTTAATTTGCTGTTATTTCTCCAGTACTTTGTTGCTGTTTTTTTTTTAAGATTTTATTTATTTATTTGAGAGAGAATGGGCGAGAGAGAGAGAGAGAGAGAGAGAAGGAGCAGAGGAAGTAGCAAAGGGAGAGGGAGAAGCAGACTCCCCAGTGAGCAGGGAGCCCAACATGGGGCTTGATTCCTGGGACTCCAGGATCATGACCTGAGCTGAAGGCAGATACTTAACTGACTGAGCCACTGAAGGGCCTTGAGTTTTGCTTGTTTTATACACCAAATAACGATATCTACAGCTAACATTTATTGGGCACATACAGGTACTTTACATACATTATAACAGGTGGTAGTTGCCCTTAACATAGTTATTCATAAGAACATATTATTCAAATTACATGATAGTTTAACATAGCGGTTAATGAACATGGGCTTTGGAGTCAGATAGGCTTTAAATCAAATCTTTAGCCTACCAGGAGTTATCAAAATGCATAACCTTGGTTAAATTATATACTTTCTCTATTGATTTTCCTCACTTATATTATGAGAATAATAGAACTCGTTTCTTAGAGGGTTTTTGTAAGGGTTGAGTGAGACAATGCATATAAAGTTTTTAACACAGTGATTGTCAAATAATAAGCTCTCATTAAATGTTATGTATTACCATTTTTATTAGATAATTATTAAACGAGCAATTTCTAAGCAAGTTCTATATGCTTTATACAGTGTTAGGATAGTCAGGATATACAAGAAAAGATATTTTTTAATGTTTATATTCAAATTGGGTAGGCAAAATTAATACTTACTTGGAACCATTAACTGATAATCTGTGTGGACTGATTCTAATCACCAGGAGTCTGGAAAAAAAGGAAATATCACTGGAGTGGTTAGGAAAGTCTTCACTAAGTAGAAGAAAGAAATTTATGAATATGGGTAGACAGAGAAAAAAAGAGGGAATTCCAGGAGCTGGAATCAGGGTAGCATTGACTTAAAAGGTAGAAATAAGCATGATGAGTATAGAGAAATGGTGAGTAGGTTAATTTAGTTGCAATAGAGAATCTATTCTGGGAACTATGGAAAATAAATTTGGATGAAATGTGGAAAGATTCTGAAGGATTTTAAAGTTAGGCAGATAAAATATCCAGGTCAAGGAAATCTATATATAGAGAAAGCAGATTCGTGGTTGCCAATCTAATCTGGGGGGAATGGGAAATTACTGCTAAGTGGATATGGAGTTTCTTTTTAGGGTGATGAAAATGTTTTCGAAATAGTGGTGATGGTTGTACAGCACTGTAAATGTACTGTCATTAATAGCAAATTTTATTATGTGTATTCTATCTACATACATAGAGCTAGGCAGAAGAATTTAGATTTAATGCAATAAGTAATAAGCATTGTAGGTTCTTCATCACAGGAGAAATAAAGATGAAAGTGGTATTTTAGGGGGCACCTTGGTGGCTCAGTTGTTAAACGTCTGCCTTTGACTCAGGCCATGATCCCAGGGTCCTGGGATCGAGCCCAGAATCGAGCCCAGAATCAGGCTCCCTGCTCAGCGGGAAGCCTGCTTCTCCCTCTCCCACTGCCCCTGCTTGTGTTCCCTCTCTTGCTGTCTCTCTGTCAAATAAATAAAATCTTTTAAAAAAAGAAAAGAAAGTGGTATTTTAGGAAGATATTTGGCAGGATATCATTCACTGCAAGTTAGCTTTAGTTCTCAGTGTACTTTCTAACAGCAGACTGGAAGATGATAAGCAACTTCAGAGTAGTTATCAAATATTTATTAAGTGCCTGCTATATGCCAGTTATGATATTAGGTGCTAGAAATAAGGATTGTACTTTACTTTTTGCATATCACCTGGTGTATAAGAAAGAAACAACAAGAAAACTTGCTTTAGAGAGAAATCCTAAGGCCTAAAGAACCCAAGACCAAAGATAGGTGAAACTCTAGCTCTGAGCCACATTTTCAGTTTCAAAAGACATTAATATGGTATGTAATTATATTCAGCACCGTATAATGAGATTATCATACACTCTTTGTATCTTTAGGACTTATATTTTGGGAAAATAGCTCTATTATTTAAAATTCTTTATATCATGGAAAATTCCAAACACATTTTAAGCCTACCATAGCAGTATTATCATGCCAATGGAATTAACAATAATCCCTTAATATGATTTTATAGAATTTTCTCAAATTGCCTCAAAAATGTCTTTTTACAGTTGGTTTATATGCATCTGGGTTCAAAGTCTACACATTGCATTTGGTTTATATATTTGTTAAGTCTTTTAAAATTTGTAAGAGTTTTCCCTCCTTTTTATTCCCTCATGCCATTATTTGTAGAAGAGCGTGGATCATTTGTCCTAAAGACTGTGAATATTCTGGATTTTTGTTGTTTATATTCTCATGGTTTTATTTATTAACATGTTATGCTATCCCCAGGATTCTATGTAAAATGGCGGTTAGATCTAGAAGCTTGATTAATTTCAAGTTCAATTTCTTTGGAAAACTACTTTTCTAAGGGAGTACAAGTTTTTGATGCATCATAGGTTCATTGGCTAAAAAGCTAGAACAACAAAATTCTTGTGGCTCCGGCTGTTGTTCAGATTATTTTTTATGTGTTTGTCATAGGTTAATATAGAAAAGTTGGAAACATTATACAACACCAAAAGGAGTTTTGACTTCTAACATTTAATTGATGGATTTTTGTTTTGTCTTCTTTTGTTGTCTACTCTTCTTATCACAGATCTACATCAAGATCGTTCTTCTCCCCCCCCCACCTCCACTCCCAGAAAGAACCCTGGAGTCCTTCATTCTTGCTGATGAAGATTGTAAGTGACTACTATATTCCTCTCAAAAAAGCTATAAAAATGAGACTGCTAGAAGATTAACAATAAAGTAGGACCTAAATGGTAAAGGTATAAAGAATGATTAAACAAGATAAAAATAATACATTAAAAAAACCCCATAATATAAAAATAATGCATAAAAAAGCCAAGCTAAGAATTACTGAATATATACCTATATATATCCCAAAGGCTTAAAAAGCTATGCATCAAATCATTTTTTTTAAAGGTATGCAAGCTCAGCCTGTAAAGACTTATTCTACTAGCTGTCTTAATACCATGGATAATTCAACATCTTCAAAACAGATATTGAAGACTCCGGGAAAAGGTTTCACAAGGACTAAGGTAAAAAAGATGGGAGTTTTAAGAAACATGCCAGAGTCTTTTCATTTCTGAAGGTGTTCACACCCTTCACCCCTTCCCTGTTGCCAGAATCAAGATGGAAATTAGATTATTTATAAGAACAGCTGATTGGGAACAAGACTGTTAATCACTAGGGCAACTGATTAAATAAGTCATAAATCATAGTATATGCATATAATGAAATAATATATAGTTTAAAAAGGAATGAGGATGCTCTCAGTGTACTTATTTATAATTTATTAACTTTTCCTTAAGTGGTAGAAAATATGATCTATATTTGTATTGTACATTATAAGTGACTCTGGAAGGATACATAAGAAATGAACAATAATGGTTATCTGTGGAGGAAGGGTCAGAAACTGGATAGATGGAGAACAAAGATGGGAGCATTTTGACTATAATATTTTGAATTATAAATTAATGATTTATTTTAAAAAATTTAAATAAAAAATTTCCCTCCAAAAAGAATTTATTAAATATCTATTATATAGAAAACTACACTTCTGTTAGGTGTTAGAAGATAGAAACGCCCTAAAGGATATCTATGTGTCCTTGAAAAGAGAACAGTTAATCCATTGGAATACAATGCCTATATGAGAAACAACATGAAGATATCAAAAAGAACAAAATACCACGAAACAGATTAAAAACATACATGCCGAGGTATGCGAAGAAGAGAAATATGGGTCGGTTCCTGGAAGAGATAAGTTAGGGACTTCACCGTAAAGGAGGTAGAGTGGTTTTGCTGAACAGAAGGAGAGGGAAGTAGCATGGTAACAGTATGGAGTGGACCTTAGTAAATTTAGTTCAGAGTAGGATTTTTAGAAGTTCTTGGCTAGAATGGGAATGGCTGGGTATCATAGCTATCTTCAGAAGCCATTGTGGTTTCTAGAATGGTCCTAATAAAGAAGAAACGTAGGGACTCCTTTTTTCTCTGATATTCTGATAGCACTCCTTCTAAATACGTAGAGTGATTCTTATGTTGATGGGAAACAAATAGCAAGATAAAATCTAGTGGAGACTTTGCACTGAATTAAAATAGCAAGATGGAAAAATAATTTTGTGCATTTGATGGCTATTTTTAGGGAAATTAATCCTTTCAACTGAAATCTGTATTTTTACTTGATGAAAGTATTTTGGATTTCATAGGAAAATAAGAAAAAACTAACATTTTCCTTTTCATTTTTGTAGAGTTTGAAAATTTTGAGAAATGTGAAAAAGAGTAAGTTTCTTTTTACTTGTTTTTTTAGAATACATATACACTTCCACAATTATGTAATTTTTCCTTATATAACCACTCTGTGAAAACATTAGCAATAGTATTCCTATACAGAGCCTTGCTAGGGCCCTCTGTGTCAGAAGGATCACTCTGGGGCCTTGTAGCCTGTGAGGATCCACAGTGCTAATATTGGAAGCGAGTAAAGGGAAGGGGAGTTTTTGTTTAACAGACAGGAATAATATGATGTGTGTCACTTTCCACCCATCCTGAGATGCTGTCATACAAATGTGTTATTTAAAATTACTAGCAGTCTAACCTTGAATGTATTTTCTTTGAAAATAGTCACAGCAAAGCATATTGTGAAACAAATGTGTTAATTTAATGAAAGAAGCAAAGTATTGACACGTTTCCATTTTTGCCAAGTATTATTGGTAATAAAAGTCTGTTGCTTATTATTTTCGCTCTATTGTAATGAAAACAGAACCAAAAGACTCCTGAAACTGTGGGAAATTATCTCAGAAATCCTTATTTATAACTACATAGTATATAAAAAATAGTGATATACTTTTTATGAATTTGATCCATTTGGTTAATCACTAAGGACCAAACAGTTTTTTTGGCATTATACTGGTATTATAGGGAGGGACAAAGAGCGCTGAGAAAACACAATTTATGGTATTGTTTATATAAGAAGGTTTATAGCTGAATCTTACCTGTTTCTGCTAAGTTTTCTCTTCACTATCCCATCAATAAACTTGTTCTAGCTTGCCTTCATTGACACTACACCTGATCTTAGAAGTGAATGGATTTCTCACCTATGATCATAAAGTATGATTGGAAAATTTACTCTTTCCTCTAAAGTGAGTCAAAAGGGAATTTAAACATTTCAGAGAAAACTGTAGTATAAAACAGGGGAAATAAAACAGCCTGAAGCAAAGAAGTGACTGACTTGAACAGCTAGCCAGCTTGGTTTGAACAGCTTAGCTTATGAAACACCGTTTTCTTTCTCTTAAAAAAAGAGAGAGAGAGAGAGAGAGACTGATTTTTTTTTTTTTTTTTTTTTTTTTTTTTTTTTTGCATAGCCCCAACCCTATCTTGGGGATATCAAAGACACAGAAATTCAGGTAAATTTAGGTTGGCATAGATTCAATATGTGGGACGCTCAGAAATTCTCAGTCTTATTTCTAAATAAGACCTCCCAGATCATTCTCTAGATCTAAACTAATTTCAGTTTCTCAGTTGCCTTCATCCTCTGGTCTTTTGTCCTTAAATGAAGAATAATACCTGGCCCTCAAAATATCCTGAAGCTAAAAAAAAAAAAACAAAAAAAAACCTGAAGCTTTAGATTTATCTGCCTGTACTCGGGTATGTCTCCTCTTACCCTTCCAGATGGTTCATGACTCCTGAAGTCCAGATGTTCTCCCTTTAGCCTGGATCTCTAACTTGTCTGTAGTTAAAGCTGGTCTTACTTTTAATAAAATGAGTGTTCTTGACCTGTGGTTTTAAGCTTGCATTTAAGCATAGTGTTAGTCATTCATTGAATATTCATTGAGTGCCTACTGTGCGTCCAGCATTTTGTAAGGCACTGGGTATATGATGGGAAACACAACAGGTATTGGACTATGCCTTTGTGAAACTTAAGTCTAGTGAGGGATTCAGATATTAAACAATTCACAGATACGAACATACCAAGACATGGTGATAAATGCTGTGTAGGAAACCAAGAGGGTAACTATGAGAGAGAATAACAAAGGGATTTATTTTATTTTATTTTTTCAATTTTTAAAATATTTTATTTATTTATTTGCCAGAGAGAGAGTGTGTGCACACAAGCAGGCACAGTGGCAGGCAGAGGCAGAGAGAGAAACAGGGTCCGCGCTGAGCAAGGAGCCCGATGCAGGACTTGATCCCAGGACCCTAGGATCATGACCTGAGCCAAAGGCAGCAGCCTAACCCACTGAGCCACTCAGGCATCCCCAAAGGGATTTATTTTAGAAAGAGTGGTCTAGGAGGCCCTTTCTAAGTGATCATTAAACCTGAGACCTGAAAGAGTAGCCAGCCAGGAGAAAAGTGGAGAGGAGCCCTCCAGATAGAGGGAACAGCATATGCAAACCCTCTGAGGTAGGAGTTCAGTGTATTGTAGGAACAGAGAGGAAGCCATCATAGCTGCATGGTATCAAGAGGGCAGAGCAGTAAAGTGTGGCTGACAAGATGGTGGAAGTGGGGGAGAAGGTAGTTAAATCGTTACGGGTCATGCTAAGTAGTTCAGAGTTTTTTCTAAGTGTAATGGGAAGTCACTGAAGAGCTTTAGGCAGAGATGTTACATGATCTGTTTTTATCTATTTTTTTTTAAGATTTTATTTATTTGTTAGAGAGAGAGAGAGAGAGAGAGCGCGCACGTGGGAGCAGAGGCAGACAGAGTGTCAGGCAGAGGCAGAGGGAGAAGCAGGCTCCCTGCCAAGCAAGGAGCCCGATGTGGGACTCGATCCCAGGACCCTGGGATCATGACCTGAGCAGAAGGCAGCTGCCTAACCAACTGAGCCACCCAGGCGTCCCAGACATGATCTGTTTTTAAAAAAGATCCCGCTATCTGCTGTGTGGAGAGTGAATTATAGGGTGACAAGAACTGAAGATATTGACCATGGTCCCTGACGCCTACTTTTGGTGGGAAACACTACTCAGGTATCCTTCAGTTGCAAGTGATAGAAAAACCAATGAAAGCTAGCTTAAGCGGAAAAGGGGGATTCATTGGCCTGTAACCAAGAGTTCAAATGATATAATCAGGACCTAATCTCATTCCATATCTCCAGCTTTGTTTTACTCTGTGTTTGTTCATTCATGAGGAGGCTTTTATCATGTGGTATCAGGCTTGTGATGGAAAAAATTAGCTCTTTCCTGGTTGCTCAAGGAACAGTCTGATGACTAGGACTGATTGGACCTGATTGTCTTGGTTTGATTCATTTGCCCATCCTTGAACCAATTTATTGCCAGTATATTCTGATTAAGCAGAGCAGTGTCGTACTGTCATACTGTTAACTATTATTAAAATATTTAACAATTGTTATATATGGACACTGACCAATAAGAAATGAGGTCAGATCTAAATACCTGGTATGATTATGGCAATACACCAACTGAAAATTAGCCCTATAGGTCAGTTCCATGATCTAAGAGTAGAATCAACTTCACCAGACATATAGGAGCTGAAAATTGGGGAGGGGTGGTTTCCTAAAGGAAAACTCAAATTCTGTTATCAGAAAGATGAGGAATTAATGCTGGGCAGGCAGCTTAAAAATATCTGTGACATAATATAGTTCTACCGGAGCTGCCATAGGAAAAAACCCAAGATGTTTATTAAGCAAGAAAAGCAAATTGTAGGATAATCAGTCTTATTTGCATAATAACTTAACAAAACTAGGTACTTGCAAGTATATTAAGTTCAACCATATGGCACTGCCATTTTGAAAAAGAAACAAAAAAAGCAAACCAAACTGTGACAAGCCAATATGCAAAATAGCTGTTCCCTCTGATATATTTGCAGATTTTGTCCCCTGTGATAAAAGAACAACAACAAAAACAAAAAAACCCCACAACATTCCCTTTGGGCACAACTGTTTTCTTTCTGAAGGATGTATACTACTGTCAGCTCACATGCAGTTTAGTGATGATTTTGATATGTCCTGAATTTCTCACCTTCGCTTACTTCTTATTCATGTCTCTATCCTGAGTGCCTAGCCCAAGGCTTGGCACATAATAGGCATTCAATAAATATATATTTTAATTGAATCTGATTGAAATTCAGTATGTACTCTAGTGATTCATACTCAAGTACCTCCATGGAGAGGGTTTTTTTTTTCTTGAATCCTAGCATTAGGCACGTGTTTACAAACACAGATGCAGTCCCCATACTGTACACTCAAAATGCTGAAAGCCAAAAAAAGGTGACTATTTTAATAATTTCTCCCTAATCATATGTTCTTTTTACATAAAGTCTTATAGAAGGTTTATATAAACCTGAAATCATCTTTTTTCACTGCTAAGTAGTGCATGCACAAAATATGGATGATGTTTTCACTGGACTGTTTTAAAAATTGGGCAGTAACTTTTACATGAATATCTTAAGGTGCTGGGAAGAGAAACATTTTTAAACCGACCTGTAAGTAGCTAAAATAGCAAAACAAAGCAATATAACAATGCTTTTGGGAGATTCTGGGCCTAACTAGAATCATCTATAATGGGAAAAATATAGGCTGGAAAGTGAAGAAAGATATTTAGGAGTAAAGGATACTGTAAGAAAAATCATAGGTGTGCCATGGATGAGCTAATGTGCAAAACAAATTATTTAAAACGTGTTAAGAGTGATCAGAGTGCAGTGGCTCAGTTGGTTAGGCATCTTCTTCTTGATTTTGACTCATGTCATGGTCTTAGGACTGTGGGATCCATCGTAAAGCTTGCTTAGGAATTTTCTCTCTCCCTCTGCCCCTCCTCCCTCCACCACTCCCCTGCATGGGCTTGTTCTCTCTCTCTCTCTCAAAAAAAAAAAAAAAAAAAAAAAAAGTGATCAGAGTGCAAAGTAAAATGAAATAAAAAACCACAATGTGAATCCCCCAAGAAGTTGACTCAAAATGTAATGGATGTTATTTCTGAATACTCCGGTGATTTCTCTTTAGTGTTGGGCTTTACTAGACAATCTGTTTCCAAGGGGGAAAAAACCCTTAAAAAAATACCCACACCAAAATGAGATTATAGTGTTAACCCATTTGTAAGCATCTATATTTTGTTACATTATATAGTAATACGTTTATTTGGGAGTATTACTTTGGAGGAAAAGTTTAATTTCAAAATTATGTGGTCTGATACACAGTAATTGGAGTCTGCCTTCATTTTTTCCCTTACATTTTTTCCTTTTGATTCTAGGTATCTGTAATTCTTCCCCACCAAACAAGCCTGCAGACTCTGTTCAGTCAAATTGCTCCAGCTCCTTTCTGAATTTTGGTATGTGTGTTATTTTCTAACAGAGTTAAAAAAAAAATGTTTATCTTATAGTGTGTTATAACTTTAAGTATGATTCAAGGTTGATATATAAGTCCTTATACTTATATCCTTTCCATGCAATTTATCTTCTTCATTTTTGACCTTAGTTACCTCTTAACAACTTACCTAGGACTGAAATGCCTAGCATAGCAGAAAATGAAGCTAGGTAATGAAATAACTCTGTTGGCATGTAGTAAATGAATGTTACTAGCCAAAGCCAAATGAAATTCTGAGATGCTATGATACTCCAGTTCATATCTAATCAAAGTTATAAAAAAATACACAAGTATGGTAATAACAGCTGCTCTCTCTCATATTGCTCATTCTACATAGGAGCTGAAGCATAATTCTAATAGTTTAAAGGAATTGTTTGCCCCACTGCCCCTAATATTAACTTAAAATAATCTTATTTTAGTCATCCTATTATTCTATGTGACATAAATTCATGATACTCTTTAATAGTATCACATATACTACAAATTTTTATATGAAGTATAGTAATTAATGTAGGCTATTATTACTAAAAATTATTACTGAAAAAGCAGAACCCATGAAATGGTCTGGGAGCCCCCAAAGGTTCCCTAGGACAAGACCTTGAGGGCGGTTGCTCTGTGGTCTTGTCCTTGTTCATATGGTTAGAGTTGGGTTGCTGCCACATCCAGATTGCACGTGGCAAGAAGAGGAGAGGAAAATGTGTAAACGTGAAAAGGTGTGGCCTCCTCTTCTGGTCTTAAGGTACTGGCCTGGAAGTGGCAATATCATGTCATCTCACATTCCCTTGAAGAGAATTTGGACATGTGTTACAACTAAATTGCAAGAGTGACTGGGAAATGTGATAATGCTAGGGAGGCAGTTGCTGAGATACAATTCTATTCCTGAAGAACCAAGGAAAGATTTTGGTGGAAAGGTAGCCATCTCTGCCACACCTGGATTATGGTCTCTATTCATTCCACCTTGGCCAAATATTTAACTAGAATCTCGGGATGTTTCTTGAGCTGTAAAATGTTATTTGGATTACATTAACTCTAAGGTTTAAAATGTTAGGGGAAAAAAGTTATGATTCTTATGAAATCATTTAGCTAAAAAATTCATAGATTTTCATATAACTTATGAAAAAAGCACCAAACTTTGCCAGGAACACAAATGTTCCCTTGCTTCTTTTCTCTTAATCCATGATACCACTTGAGTAATTCATGACCCCTCTAACTTTACAGCAGTCTGTAATCTAATATGAAGATAAAATATTAGAGAGCTTCCTCCATATTATTTCTTCTCAAATATGCTTAGATTTGAATATTTACTTAATTAAAAGCACAACTCTTTCATTGGGTCTTTTTTTAGAAAGGAAGCAACAGAAATTGCAGTAATATTTTACTTAAAAATGTATCTAAATGTGAATTTTAAAATTTTGTGATTTATAAACATTTTTTATTTTTCCTGAATTGGCCTACATGAAAAACAGATAACTATTTTTCTAAACTATTCAGAAATGATCAGTGAAAATGACTGAATGTGGATATCCCTTAAATTTCAGATACTTAGTACTTGTATATTATGTTCTTACTTCTATTCTCAGTCTACTCACGTTATAGTCAAGCTATCTAGACTGAATAGATGAGTTTGTGACTATGTGTATGAAACTATTTAACCTGAAATATTTTTCCTTGTTTTTTTTTTCTCACTCAAAGAAGTAAAATGTACATGAGCGTGGCTGTGTGCTTCTCCCCCCAATTTTTTTTATCATCACTATTATTAATTTGTTTTCCCGGTATTTAAGTTTTTATTTAAATTTTGGTTAATTAACATACAGTGTAATTTTAGTTTCAGATGGATAATTCAGTGGTTCTATTATTAAATTTAATATTAGTAGGGTTCTTGTTTTTATATTCTTTTCTTCTCTTCCGTACTCTCCTTTTCTTCTAGTTTTGGTATAATGTTTTTGTGGTTCTGATTGGAGCAACACTTAAGTAGTTACGATGAGCCAGACATTGTGCTGGATGCTTTAACAAATACCTCATCTGATCTTTTCCTCAGTTCTGTTCAAAGCTTTCATTGTCCAATTTGAGCACCTAAAGTTGCTGTGTCAGAGTACCTTGAAAATATACCATCATCAAAGAAAAGTCCTAGGTTGAAGGATAAAGAGATAATGTTATCAACCTGCAAATCTTTTTCAAAGGACCCAGAAATAGTTTTCATTTGTTGCGCAAAGTTTCCTTGTTTTCCTCCTTTTTGGGGGGGGGGGCAGAGGGGAGTGTTCAGGAGACAGAAAAGTAAAAGTAATTACTTAGTTTTTTAGGACAATACTTAAAAAAACAAAGAATTCAGTTAAAAAAATGGGCAAAGGACTTGAATAGACATTTTTCTGAAAAGGACATATGCATGGCCAACAGGTAAGTGAAAAGATGCTTGATATCACTAATCATCAGGGAAATGCAAATCAAAACCACAACTGTCAGAATGGCCATTATCAAAAATACAACAGACAAGTATTAGCTAGGCTGTGGAGAAAGGAGAACTGTAGAACGCTGGTATGAATGTAAATTGGTATAGCCATTATGGAAAACAGAAGTTCCTGAAAACATGAAAAATAGAACTATCATATGATCCAGCAATCCTACTTCTGGGTATATATCTAAAGGAAATGAAATCATTACCTCAGAAGAGATATCTGCACCTCATGTTCATTGTACTGTTACTTAAAATAGACAAGACATGGAAACAACTAAGTCTCCACCTGACAGCTGAATGAAGAAAATATGTATATATACATTATATGTGTGTGTGTATGTGTGTGTGTGTGTGTGTGTGTGTGTGAATATTATTCAGTCTTAAAAAAGAAGGAAATCCTGTTGTTTGAGACAACATGGATGAATTTTGTGGGCATTACACTGAGATAAGTAAGCTAGAGAAAGACAAATACTGTATGTTTTCAGTTATATGCAGAATCTAACAAAGCCAAACTCACAGAAATATAGAGTAGAATGGTGGCTGCCAGTGGCTATGGAGGGATGTTGGTCAAAGAGTGCAAACTTCCAGCTGTAAGATGAGTAAGTTCTGGGGGTCTAACGTACAGCATGATAATTATAACAGTACTGTATTATATACTTGAAAGTTTAGAGTAAATACTAAATGTCATCACCACAGAAGAATGGTAATATTATGAGGGGATGGAAGTGTTACTTAGTCTTAATACGGTAATCATTTCATAATATATATGTGTATCAAATCATCATGTTGTATACCTTAAGCTTACATATTTTATAGGTCAATAATATGTCAGTAAAACTGAGAAAAAAAGGATATTACAGTTGACCCTTGAACAATGTGGGGGACAGGGATGCCCCCCCTGCCCCCTATGTAGTTGACAATCCGCAAAAACTTAGAATCTCCTAGAACTTAACTCCTAATAGTGAGCTGTTGATCAGAAGTCTTATGCACAACATAAACAGTTGATTAACACATATTTTGTTTGCTATATATATATGTGTGTGTTCTATATATGCTAAAGAAATATATATATACTAAATAGCATATATATATATATATATATATATATATATATATGCTAAAGAAAATGCTGTTCAAGGGTCAACTGTATCTGCTGAATTACCAAAGGTTGTTATACCCAGGGTTCTTCATCTAATTATTACCATTATAAAATTTGTAAGTGTTCTACAAAATTAAAATGTTATTAATATTCTGTCACCATTTAAGCATTAACTTAAGTACTATGCCTTTACAATCTATTATTAAAATAATCAAAGGTGTTGCCTAACTTTTTGAAAAAAAATCCATGTACTTGCATATGTTATAATACACTCTAAAATCTAAGTATTTATTTCTATACAAAAAATTTTTAATTTTATTTCTGTTCTCAGGTTTTGCAAATCGTTTTTCAAAACCCAAAGGACCAAGAAAACCACCACCAACTTGGAATATTTAACACAACTTTGGAATATAGGCTGCAAGTGCATCTGCAAATAAGAGTACTAAAATACTATTAGCTAAAATAAGGTTTCCATATTCATTTCAACAATGAAGATAATGTAATGTGTTAATAGCAATATTAGAAAAGAATATTCAAATAAGTGCCAGAAACTTTACATTTTCATCTCATATTGGGCTGGAAACTGGAAATAAATTTGTCACTTGAGCTTACGTAGAGAACACTGTATGAGACACAGTTTTCAAATGGACTTATTTTTCATTTTGGAAGTTATTTTTATTCTACTTTTCTACACAAATATAAGCCTCAAAATATTTTTTTATAAACTTCAAAATGTTTTTAAGAATTGGATCTCAACTGAATGTTTACATTGCCAAAATTACTACAGAAAGTGTTTCACAAAATCTGACCTGTGCTTGTGACAATGACTATTCCCTGGGAATTATTTTTGCCTAAATGGAGTACACCTTGCACATCTTCCCAAAGGTGGAAAACTAGAGAACTAGAGTAATAAGAAAAGAAGTTGTGCTTAAGAGAATAAAATATGTAAACAAAATCATTTCTGTATTTGGATATATCTACTAACAAGATGTTCAACTACATTTCTGATAAGTTTTAACCAGTTATTTAGTTACCAAGTCTAGAATAATCAGCAAAATAGCTATCCTTTGGTAGCATTTTTCATTTCGAAGGTCCTGCATAAATACATGCAACTTATATCCAACCAATCAGAGGTTTAAAAAATTTTCTCTATGAATGTGGGTCTGCCTTAGTTTTAGAAAATCTTGAGTTTTCAAATCTGATTTTATGTAACAAATAAGTCAATGGGTAATTACTGTTACAGAGGATTCCCGAGTTCTCCTAATGACTTTAACTTAGAAGTCTCTTTCTAACTTTTAGAAACATGAAATACTTAAAACGGCATTTGTTCTTCAATACCTTTCGTTAGGAAGCCTAATGATAGGGCTAATTGGATGATATGTTAACCTATTTATTACAGTACAATGTACACAATAGGTGCTGAATAAACTTTGTTTTAAAAACCAGCTTTAGTGTTCATTTAGCTGAATACTTCTCCAGGCACTAGTGGTGTTCCTGAGTACTTCATTGTAATCAATTACTCCCAAAGATCCTCATCAAGGACCAAATATGTGAACAGAATCTTAGGTAAAATCTAAAGTCTTGACGATGGAATTGTGAATGAATTTCCGGGCAGCAACCTTGGTGAACAGTGACGATTTTTGTAATGTTCTGTGGTAGACACACTTCTCAAATTCATGCAACCCTGTACTTGCTACTTGAGGGGTGGGGTGGGAAGGAGAAACTTGTTTAAAAAAGCTTAAAAAGAAGGTTTTCCGTCTATAATTTTTTCGTCACCGTGGGGATGGATTCGACATAAATGATGGCCGCTACCTCTCCAGGCTCGGAGGTGAGGTGCGGCGGCGCTCACCAGGCGTCCAGGCAGTTCTTGCACCTGCCTTGCCAGCCTGGAGCTGTAAGCATAGCAGTGCCCACGAAGAGGTTAAAACATGTCTTCACTAAAGCCCCGTTCCATTCTAAACCCAAATCGCCCTCATTTTACGTATGATCAAGTTCCCCTTTCCTCTTCGGTACATCGCCATGTCCAAAGATAAAAGGCCGCAGATTCTTCTACCTCACAAAGGTTATGAGAGGACTACGAAATATAAAAGTACCTATGGAGACCACCGACTCCGTATAAAATGACGAAGCTGCACACGGACACGATAATAGGAACGCGCCGGCCGACTCTGAAAAGCACTAACATTGTTTCGGCCGTTAAAGCGGTTGGCGGCAATTCTCCGCCCAGCGGCGGTTGCGTCGCCGCCCGAAGCGTGACTCGGCGCACGCTCTCTTTCCGCTCCTCCACTCCCAGAGTTAGGGACGCGGCGGGGGCCTGAGGGAACTACCGCTCCCATGAGGCTCTGCGCCGCCCAGAGTGTTTTACAATAGAGCTTGCTCGGAGAGGCCTGCGGAGAAGCGCAGGGAACTGCCGCTTCCGGCATGTTCAGCTCCGGAGGAAGGACCGCCGAGAAGTGGAGGGCGGGGGAGAGACTCCAATGCCCAGCGGGCCGTGCGCGGGCGGCGCTTGCGCGATACGCGGACGGGGGGGGCGGTCGGGCCATTTAAATGTGTGTTTGTGGGTGAAATGGCTGCGCAGGTCGGAGCAGTGCGCGTAGTACGGGCGGTGGCGGCGCAGGAGGAGCCGGACAAAGAAGGGAAGGAGAAACCTCATGCTGGGGTCTCGTCGCGGGGAGTGAAGCGGCAGCGCCGAGCGAGCAGTGGGGGGTCTCAGGAGAAGCGGGGGCGGCCGAGCCAGGACCCCCCTCTCGCTCCCCCTCACCGGCGGCGTCGCAGCCGCCAACATCCCGGGCCGCTGCCGCCAACGAATGCAGCCCCAACCGTCCCAGGCCCTGTTGAGCCTCTGCTCCTGCCGCCTCCGCCGCCACCTTCGCTGGCACCCGCCGGGCCCGCTGTCGCTGCCCCGCTCCCGGCCCCAGGCACCTCGGCCCTCTTCACCTTCTCTCCCTTGACGGTGAGCGCGGCCGGGCCCAAGCATAAGGGCCACAAGGAGCGGCACAAGCACCATCACCACCGCGGCTCCGATGGTGACCCTAGCTCCTGCGTTCCTGGCGATCTCAAGCACAAGGACAAGCAGGAAAACGGCGAGAGGACCGGAGGGGTGCCTCTGACCAAGGCCCCCAAGAGAGGTGAGAGCAGGCGAACTGCCCCGAGCTTGGGCTTTAGGTCTCTCTCAGTTCTGATATCCCGCCCCTTTAGCACTGAAAGACGCCAAACCCCTACTTACCTCCTGCTACTCTACTCCCTTAAGCCCACTGGGGTGGACTCTGGATTTCAAACCGTTGACACAGCCTGACCTACTTGAGGCTTCTCATTTCGAGGCCGAGCTGTCAGTTGCTAACCCCCTTACCAGGCTACCCCTCCCCGCCCCCGCCCTTCACCCCGAGCCTCTACCAACGTTTGTTTTCAAATTCGCCAGGGTTTCCGCGCCGCGCGGTCCTTGGCGTGGGATTAGTGGCTGGGGTATTAAAAACCTGTTTTTCTAAAGTAAAGACCTGTCGCTAAAATCCTTTCTTCTTGTTATCTTTGGTGGAAATCTTAACTGTTCACTCTCCCAGGCTCCAAAATATTCACGGGTATGCTGTGGGGCTTAATGAGTTTGAATTCTTACAGAGGTTACTCGACTCACAGGTTGCTTTAGCTTCTGCAAGGTAAAAATATCAAACGTAGTTCGTAGTGGTTGTTTTTTAATTTTTACGTTAAATCTTAATTCTGGGAAGAGGATTGGGGAAGGTTTTCTCTCCCTTTTGATCCTAGGAAATAGGACTAACTGTGACTGTGACGAGTGGGAAATGTGCAGTAAGTGAATAGTTAGAAGCAAGAATTCCAGTTGGCAATTTATTCTTTGTGGCGCAAACACACACACACACACACACACACACACACACACACACACAAGGAATTTATTTGATTCCAGTAACCCTCACTAGAGTCAAAAATATTGAACCCAGAAAATATAGGACTACCCAGTTAAATGTGGGATCTAGAGAAATTAGATTTACCAAAATTGGTGTCTTCCTGTTCACAAGTACACGTAGCATTTATTTGTATTTTCTGTGGGGTGAGGGTAGGAATTTTGATCATACCGTGGATTTTATATGATTTTACATAATATTTAGTTCTGTTTCCTCAGGAAGATTTTAAGATATAAGTATCTTAGTATTTCTTAGTATTGGGCCAGCTGGGTTATTACATGTTAATGAACAAAGCCTTTCAATCTAAAGTTTTGTGAGTCTTGGATTCCTTCCATATACTTGGTCTTGACTTAATCAATTTTTTTGTGGTGCCACTTCCAAATAGTGCAGTTTGTTGCAAATAATTGCTCAATAAATACTTATTGAATTGAGTGAAATCTTTCTTCCTTTGGTGGTATCCAGATGTTATTTGCAGGAATAAAACTTGTGCCAATCTGATAGGACTGCCAGTTTCCACCACCAGTATGCAGTGATCTTGCTGTCTTCTATTTCTCGTCTTCTCATTCGTGTGTGTGTGTGTGTGTGTGTGTGTGTGTGTGTGTGTGTGTTTTAACCATATAGAGGTAGAGGGAATCTTAGAGATCAACTAATTCAGATTTATATTGTGGAAGAGGAAACCCAGGCCCAGAGTAGTGAAGAGACTTGTCTAATTAAGTCACAATTAGTACCAAGTACAAACTTTAACAATTTTTTATTTTAATGAATAATCGGTATAATAAGGAGTAGAACCCAGATTCTTGAATCCCAGTTCAAGCATTGTCCCCCAGTGGCTTGTAGTTCCTTTTTTTTTTTCATAGTATTTTTTTCATGGTATTCAGTCACTTTTCCCCCTTCTTTGCTTACCCCTTCCCCGTGCCTTGGGATCAGAATGGCAGTAGCCAGCTCCATCAGAAACTTCTGACCTTCCCCCTTTTTATGGTGGGATAGGGGCAGTTAAACGTATAGTAAACAACAGTGTGCTTCTTCTCTGAGGATTGCACAGGCCCCGTGTTCTTTAAAAAACAAACAAAAACAAATCTTTAACTCATTGCTATCTGACAGAACTTTCTCCAGTGATGGAAATGTTCTATATCTGTGCTGTCCAGTATGGTAGCATCAGTCATATGTGGCCCTTGAAATAAGTCTTGAAGACTTAAATGTGGCTGGTGTAACTGAGGAACTGAATTTTTAATTTTTATTTAATTAATTCTAGTTTCTTTTGGCTAGTAGCTACCATATTCGACAACACAGCTTGAAACATTTGTAGTTTGCCAGTATGTGAAGAAGTGGGTTAAGATCCGGTAATTTCAACGTCTTACCATTTTTTCTGTTAATTGAAATACAGTAACATATAATGTTATATTAGTTTCAGGTATACAACATAACAATTTGATATTTGTATGTATTGTAGAAGGATTACCATAATAAGTCTAGTTTTAAACATTTTAAGTTTTGAGTGAGGGTCTGTTGCATTATGTATTCTGTAGGGAAAGGTCTCCCTGGCCTTATACATGGGGGAGAAACTGTATACTGTAGCCTTCTACGTACATGACATAGACTGGTATTTTAAAACTTCTGAGACCCCTATAGAAAACAAACTGGCTTAACCTTGTTTAATCCAGGCTTTTGCACCCACTTTGATGGCTATCTTTACTTTTTTTCGCTGAACATCTTTATACTTGTTACAGTGGTGTGCAGGAGGTATACCTCTGGAGTCAATTTAAGTTTAACTTGTGGCTCTACT